CACAACCCAGCCGAAAAATCCAGCGTCTGGCCAGTCTCCTGTCTCTTAAGTCTTATCGTAAGCTTTCGACCCTGAAGCATCAGCCAACCTAAACTGTCCTACTCGTTTCTTTCCGAAGCAGCTGGCGCAATCCTTCCCCATTTCTCTGCCCCGAGGCCGCAGCACCGGGGGTCCTTGGCAACGGTTTGGGGATGGTCCGTGACCTACCTCGCCTCTTCCCAGCATTTCCTACTACATTTATGTCTCTATACTACAGAAGTGGTGTCTGTACTCTATCAGTGCTACTTGCTCTTGAAATGGATTTTTCTTGTGGAAAGCTTCGATGGCAAACTCGCTCCTTAGACTTCGTCACACGGTACATTACGTATCTGCCATGACTGACAGAATGAGAGGTCCGCTATTTCATGGACTCGTTTCTACTATTGACAGAACACTTACCTGTAAATCTTGAAGTTAAGGCCATGCATTTGCAAAGGCAAAGCCGCCCTGCGTTCTCTGCCAATATTCCCGGCCCTGTAAATAGTAGTACTTATCCGCACAGTCATGAAAATTGACGTTTGGTTGACCAACCCACGCAATTCAACCAAGAAGAAGCACACAAGTCGTTTCCCTTTGCACTTTGAGTCCCTGCCTCCACCTTTGTGGAAGTCGCCATGCTGAATCGCAGACTTGTTGGCAAGCAGTCCCCTTTCCCTAAGCGTTGTCAAGTCGCACAAGCAATCCGTGCTCGGAGTCGTTCGTGGGATCAGGAACAGCTTGAGCTCAGTGGCTGTGGTCACTGGTGCGACCGTCGTAGGGTCCAAAAACATCTTTGACACAACCGCGAGCGCAGTCAGCATGTGTGGCATCCCGCTCTGGGTGTTCTGTTGCGTGGGCTTTCGCAAGGTGCTCTGCGGAACAACGAGCACAGAATCATGACGGAGTTGGGACTTGGAATTGGGAAAAGTTTGCCGGAGCTCCCGATCCCGCAATACCCTCCGGCACCACCTACCGCTTGTCACTTGCTGCACTTGCCTCTGGGGGCACGACAAAGTGGGGCAAGTTGCGAATGTAGACTAACACCGACCCACCAAATTCACCAAGTGGGGCAAGTTCAATAGCGGTTCCAACCTGTGCCCCCCAAGATCCGCCGAGGCAACAGAACGTTGTGGGCAAGAAAACCGCCTAGGTGCGGCCACGAGACAAAACTCTTCCCAGGACGAAGTCTGGCGGGCTCATCGCCTGCAACTTCAACAACTTACTTTTTGGCACAAAGCCTGCTAGCCTCTGAGCTAACAAGGCACGACTGCAACCCAGACCAGCGCCAATGGCACGACAAGTTCTCTTGACTTGAAATATGATAAAATAAACAACCCTGATCACTGAGCTCACTGGGCCTGAACTCGTCCGGCACGCGTCAAGATGTCCTGCCGGCAGTGTTGCGTACTGTTGTCTCGCTCTAGCTCTGGCTCTGGCTCCATCTCTCGCTCTAGGTCTGGGCCTCCATTGGTCCCGCAGGCTCCGACGGCAGGTCATGTGGTTTGGGTGGTTAGTTCTCTCCTTCTTGCCTTTTCTTGCTTGCGTGGTCTGCTTTCTTGTTTGCATCTGCGTGTGCTCGTCTGGCTCCCAGACGAAGTGTTGGGTTCCGGGTGATATGAGAGGCCGGAACGAGGTCCACCCAGCTCCCACTCGGGCCGTCGCGCAGGGGAAGGCACCCAGGTCGAGGCGTCGAATGAGCAAGGAAAGCCTATGGAAGTATGAACGAATAAGAACCTAGGCCGTGAGACCGTTGCTTTGGGGTCGGTTTGAGCAACATTTTCCAGGATAACGATGATAACGACGGCATTTCCCAATCCCCGGAGCCCGAGCTCACCTTGGTAACACGAACGCTTAAGCACTGAAGAGCCCTCCAAGATGCAAGCCCAGGCAACAAACTCCGACCTCTGACCTCCAAAGAGTTCTGAAATCGACTCTGAGCAGATGTGCCATCTGCTCCTCGGGCACCGAATGCCAATCGAGGGAGCTGCCATCCACAGCCGGGACACGCTCAGCAAAGTCCTCATAAGGACATCGGTTTAGATAATCGTTCGCGGGAACACGTGCAGATTACTACTTTCGGTTGAATCATTGTTGAGTGCATTATTAGAAACTTAATTTTTGCGTACGCAACAACTCTTCTAAAGGCCATGCCCACTTCAACCTTCAAAGAAGAAGAGTAAGACGCAAGCGTTTCGCACATCAGCTGCGGTTGTTTACAGGTTCTTTTGGCATTTTCAAGCATCCCGAATGGCGGCTTTCATGCCAACATTTCGCTGAATGCATTACGAAGTCATTCCGTGACATGTGAATGTTTCCCGGCTCTAACACAATTAGTCTAGTCTTCTCTTTGGTGACGTGGTAAACACAGCGGATTCATTTTACCTCTCCTTTACATAGGAGACAAGCCTTCGGTTCCGTATGGGATTCTCCTTCAGGCTCATCAATGAAAATAGAACTGACACGGCATCGGTGAAAAGAAGCGGACACAAAGACGATGAGAGCCGAATGCCAACCTGCACCCCTTTCCCCAGGCAGTTAGGGAGTGAAGACGGAAACAGGAAGGGAGGGAGACAGCGGCTGAAGAATTCTGTGTTCAATCGGAGCCTCAGTAAAAGAAAGAAAAGGAGCCCCTTGCAGGAGCAACAGCCTCGATGCCAGCAGCTTCTAAGGACCGCTGTTGGGCCTCCGCCTAGGCTGTCGAATCACAAGGGGGGAAGGGGTGCGCAAGGCACCATGCAAGCTCCATGGGTAATCTGATCAACGTTGCGGTGACCGTTTTTAAATGGGTACGCCTGACTCTTGCCTCAATCTTACTCAGGAGAGCACCAATATATACATAACACCGATGAGTCCCTCCAGCCTGGGACACGTATAAACCCATGCTAAACACCTAAAGCCCCGCAAGTAAGTGGCGCGGTCGCTCCGGCGATCCAGGTTCATCCATAGGACTTTGGCCTCGTTGTAAAGCAGGGCGGCGTGCTGAAACACCCACATGATACATGTGATGTGGAGGGCCTTCACATGCCTGCGGTCCCAACAAACCCTAAGACTTCGTTTTTCGCTAGACATTTGCACAACAAGCTTCGTGCGCCGCGCCTGAAGATGCCAGAAGACCCTAAAGACATTGGGTTTAGGGTTTAGGGTTTAGGGAATGCTCTGCTGTCAACCCTGCAGGGTGCCGGCCAATGTGCTCGGCAAGCTTGCCTGGAGGCATGTGCCGCGAATCTTTTTTGGGCAGGTGCTGTTGCCGTGTGTAGTGTTGGGGTGTGTTAGGTGTGTTTGTGAGCAAATCTTGAGTAGGCAGCTCCCTTGGTCCTGCAAACTTCATGTGCATATATATATATATATGCAGATAGCTACATCTTCACAAATGTCTTTGCGAGAAGGACACGCCAAGGGGTTTGTGAACCGCAAGTGGGGTGTCGAAGCACTGAGGCACACTGAGGCTCCAGCATCATCCAGTCCATTCTCCATGACTTAAGGAACCAACCGGCGCCGCAAAGTTTAGATCAAGTATGACGTATACAAGGCAAGGCTACGGATACTGATACCCTGATAACAGTAAGACCACAGCACATAAAGTGCAGTCGACTGCGAGGCTGTGCTCAAGATGAGGCCGAAGACGGTCGGGCTGATTTGATTGTCCAAGGTTTCTTCAACTGTGGAAGCGAAGGCTGGGTCTGTTCACGTGGGGGGCTCTTTCACAATGCCTAAACGAATCCTTGCCTTTCAGGCTCAGGTTGACCGCATCATCGTGCCATATCGCGTCCGAAGGTTGGGTCTTGAGCATTAAAAACTTTGCAAACAGCAACGAACGTCTAGTGACGAAGAGGCGGCATGTTTCTGACGCATTGGCTTCATGCCGGTTCTGAGAGGATACCGTCGCCGCCACCTTCACGCACCTAAGCCTGCAGAGCGGACCTTTTGCCTAAGAAGCAGCTTTTGTTCAGAGGCTCCTCTCGTTACATTCGTCCTGCTCAACAGGTCCTTCAACTCATGAAACTATGCATGGCCTTGCTGCGTGCTATCAGGCCTTCACTCCACAAATTCTTGCCTGTGCTTTTCGATCCCAAGGCACCACCGCGATTGTGTCACCGCGCGTCTCTGCTGACCTGCATTGGCAGTTCGCTCCTGAACCCTGCCACATTCCGAATTACCGCCGACTGAAGCCTGCGATGTGCAAACACACGCCATTGAAATCAGGCTGGTCCTCGCGTTTTCTCGCGTTGCCGAGCCTGGGAAGTACGACCGAGCAGTCAGAAGCTTGAGTACAGTAGCTGCAGTAGCTGCAATCAGATATTCTAGAGATTAGATATTTCAATCGAAATCCAGTAGCCGCGTTGATAAGCTAGTGCTCCAAACCCACAACCCCGTTGTGGGCTTGGCAGACCCAACTACGAAAAGACGGCGGATGCTTTGCATCCAAGTCAGTTCTATCGACCTAACACGCCTAACACCTCGAAGGGCCCGGAGATCTGAGCAAGCTGCCCTGTGCTCCCTCGTAAAGCCTGTCCGTGGGCCCTTGGAGGTTCCTATATGGCTCCCAAGCCTGGGGCAACACGCCTCCAATCCACACTAACCTCAGGGTACAAATCACGCTTCGAGATAGAACTTCACGCCAAAAAAAAGCCCTGTGTGGAATGCCTGGGCGTCCTGCGGAATGCATTCACCGCTAGCTACCTTTGGCTAGCGTCAGCGCACCGCAAGAAGGTGGTATCCTACTACCCTGCGGCCCTGACAAGAAGGACGATACCCAAAAGGGACTGCGACTGTGAGAAGACGGAAGTGCGAGCTGCTTTGAATTTAGCTGCAATGGCTGTGTCCTTGCATCGGGCCAGAACTCAGGGTCTTGAAATGAAGCCTCGCCGCGTTTTGGGGCCCAGGACTTCGACACACAGGTGCCATCAGCCAAGAGGATTGTTCTGATTTTGCTGTCAGTAGGAATGTTCAGCGGGCACGCTGGGCCCCTTCAGAACCGGCCCCTAAAAGCCTCCGCCCATGGGCCCCATGGAAGGTCCAGGCGGTGGCATCGACTGCGTCCACATGTTGTCGTCGCGCTGCTGCACCGGAAAAGTCTCTCCGTGCCTGGGATTTTTTACAAGGCCTTTTCGCTACTGAAGTTTTAGGGATGCGAACCATTCTCAGCATGCATCAGCATATGCATTGGATCCAAACCACTGAATCTGACGGAGCATCCACACGAAATCGAAACTACAGGTCCTCAGCACATTTCCATGTCAACCCCGAACCCAGGAATGCCTAAACTGCCAGTCGGACCATTTGCATCAAGACACGGTTGCGGACCAGGTTGCTGCACATGCAGCATTTGTGCCACGTAGTGCCTAAGGCACATTCACTGCTTGAGGATCCGCAGGCTGAAAGCTTGTGGTTGCCACGTCAAGCTGCCAGGAAATATGCCAAGACTGGCTTGCAACAAAGCTTTGAAGATCTGTCGCAAGCCCACAGCCCATGTCAAGCTTCTGGATCAACATGGAACATTGCTTCCCAGCGAGAAGTACACATCAGAGTGTTCGTGGCGAATTTCGGGCGGGATGCTGCACTTGCATCGGATCAACGTGTAGCTGGGCCATGAACTGCTCCTGGCTGCAGAGGCATTTCGTGTCGTAGGATTGCTCCGAGGCAGGCTGAAGGTGTTCGGCGGGATTGGAGTCTGCCCCTGACACGCAGACTTAATTCCCAGAGCCACACGCTAGTCACTAGTTTTTGTTTGCTGGCTTGGGGTTGCGGAAGGTGTCCATGTAGGCCTAGGCTGCTGGAGAACCTCGCCGAAGAATGGGATACAGGTTGAGGACAAGTGCAAAGAGGAGCAAACAAAACCGGAAACTGGAATCGCACCATCGACTTACACGGAGAACCACCTCCCACTTTGACCACAAGAATGTTGGAAGGAAAAGGCTGAAGTGCTGGCACCTCAATTCCGGGCCCGAAGACCCTAAGACGCTTGGCCAACACCATCACCAAGCTCAGATTCGCTAACCTCCAACCAGTGCAAACCCATTTTTTAATTCCCCTGGCATCCCCACCCTTCCCTCGCCCAAAACATAAGCCGTCGGAGCAACCGCGGTGAACAGAACGAGCGAACCCCTAACTCCCTAAATCTAAACCGCCAGGAAACCCAAGTCTAAAGCAAGCACAAGCTCAAGGAAGGGCTCCATAGGAGCCGAGTGCAACGCTGCGAGCATCTGTGCGGGGAGCTGTTGCACTGCCTTTGCAGGGCTTGGGGGTTTGGAGGGTTGAAAACACCAATGCCTTGATCCGTGCACATTTTGATGTCTAGCAGTTTGGCTATGCGCGGATTCAGGGCTACAGGAGCTGGTGCGAGTGGTCCACAACTGTACTGAAATCCAAGTTCATGGGCTGAGAACTCCAGGCTGGGTGTTCCTGCCTCCGGTTGGTATGGAGGCGTTTGGTTCCAGTACATCTCCGATCCTGGCCAAGTTGCCATCGGTTGCAGAGACTAGTAATGTGCCATCTCCGAATACTTCTCATCATGAAGCTTCAGGGACTTCGACTCGATGATTGGCATTGAACTTCAGCATATTTAAGCTGAAGCTGGTGAACTGTTGGGCTGACATGTTTGGGGTCACGTCTTCGATCTCACTGGAATTTCGGGCATACGGTGGTGTTAAGTGTACAGTGTACATAGGAGGTCTGGGGCCATGCCTGTTGTGGATGATTTTGCATGCGGGGATTCACTGGTGTCCCCGTACAGTACACTCAAGCCACGAGTGCGCTCAAGCTCAAGAAGTGGGCGCAGGCAGTAGGCAGTATTTGACGACGCTGCTCCTGACACTCCGCCTAGGCGCCATGCGCTTCTCAGGGCCCGCAAGCGTCAAGTTCAGGCATCCCAATCATCGCAAATTGCATGTTTGTGCCCTCGCGGCAGGTGCCACATCGCGGCTCTCACCCGAGTCCCGTGCCCTTTTCAGGAATTTTTTCGCGGCAGGGACACACTTTCATGGATTGGGACTCTTGGATGGGTGGCCTTCCTGCGTCCGTATGCGTCCGTTCTACGGGGTAGCTTTTGGGCCTGGAGTCACCAAAGCCCCAACAAAAAACCAAAACAAGAACAATTCAAAACACCGCGCCAAAGCCGGGAGTGACCAAACAAACACAAATTCAAACACAAAAACAACTCCCAAAAAGACTTTCCAACGCACAAAGCCTCCATAGGCTGCTGCCGGCATGGCCTGCCAATTTGCAAGGGTCCGTGCGGCAAAGGCTTAGCTTCGTGATCCCGTGATCCCGCAACGGGGCGGGGAACTTACGTGTTTAGGATGTGTATTGAGTGCTCACGTCAGGTTGAAGCAGAATACATCTGAGACCTTGTCGAACATGAGCAGGGGTCTTGAAACCTCGAAATCCTCGATCTCCAAACACCTCCCCACCCCCCACGCCACCTCCACATCAGATCCCATATAGTCTGACAGCCGCAGAGGCATGCCCTGGGACACAGGACTTGCTTTGCTCGCTTTTCCACATTGGCTTGTTTACAGTTGCACGGATCGGCCGCTGGGTGTGAATTAGTGCTGAAAAGGAGTGTGTGAAACCTCTACCGGCAACTTACAAGCCTCCAGGGGCTCAAGGTTTGGCAATCTTGCTACGATTTAACCACCCTGACCCAACTTACAACTCACAGTTTATGAACATGAACATGGTACCAGTTTTTATCTCCAGCCGTGGTGTCAGTCGCCTTGTTCTGCCTCGGGCCCTCTGGAAAGTCTGGGAGGTAGTCGGAGATACGGACGGTAAGGCCACGGTCCTCAGTTGCTTTTCCAAGGCAAAAGTTTGGCTCCGAGAAGTCTTTTGCGTTTGCGCTGCATGACTCTCTGAACAGCTGCGAGTGGTGTGTGCTGCGTGTGCCTGCAGGAGCTAACCGCTAGCAAGCCTCATATCCGAGCCATTTGCAGGTTGACTATGGACTGCGGGTGGAAACGTGCTAGCGTCCTCTCCTTCCCCTCATTACCCACATAAACCTAGACTTTCAGCCCCCTGAGCTTTCCGCGGCCTTCTGATGTCTCTAGCTTTCCTTGCTGGCAGAGTGCAGAGGAGCCGTCGCCAACGGCATCGAAGGAGCCCGCAAGGGAGAGGCACGCTGGGTCCGGTGGAGGGAAGGGCACACCTGCGGCTTGAAGAGAGAACTGGACAATCACGTTGAGAGGGGAAGCAGAAGAAGGGGGAACACTTTAAAGGCCTCTGGAGGCAGGCGTCCTTTGATTTTTAGTTCCAGCTGGAGCTGTAGGGTGTAAGCCGATGTGGCTCGGGGTCCCTGGACTCGCTCTCGTTCGAGGCAAGGTTCAATCGGACCAAGTAACTCAGTTCCCTACTGCGGCCCAGGTCAGCTCTCTCCACGGCACAGTTGCTCTAAGGCTCTAGATCATCACCGCTCCAGAACTGGCCAGGAAGAAACAAACACGGCTAGGACCTAGGAGCTCGGGATGTCTCATCGTGCGTCCATCTGAGTACACAGTTCTCGCCTGCATCGGAATACCGAATTAGTCCCCTGGAGCAGCTTCTCCAGGGACCATCGTTCTCTAGCCCTCGTGCAGTGTCAAAGTCCTAGATTTCAAGAGTCTGGCCTCAGGATGCAGCTGACTACAACTAGTTTGTGTCAGGAATCGGACTTCATGCACATGTATGGTTTTGGGAAGCTTGGTGCGAAAGCAGCCTGGTGTTGACTTGCGTATATGAGGCTTGTGGGGGAACGTGCGGCAGAATATGGCAGAATGGACTGGCTTTCTTGCTCACGTCAATCACCTGATCAGGTGCTTGGTCTGCTGTCGGCCGTATCTCCCACTCCCACCAGGCCGCGGCTTCGGACATGTTGCTTGGCCCCCCGCCTCCCCACGATCCCCGTGTCTCTGGTGCCAGTGCATACTCTCGATTGCATGGGCTTGGGAGCACGGCGGTGACGCGACCTGCTTGTTTAGCAACCCTGCGGGTCTTTTCAAGATGGTTCCTCTCGCCGCCCTCCTTTCTGCACACTGGTCTGTATCACGGGCGACTTCGTTCACCTTCTGACGTCGGATGAGCTTGATCTTGTCAACCCCAACAAATTGGCTCACAGCGAGTTGGAATTATCGCAGAACCTGAAACATTCGCCGAATCGAAAAACGGCAGCCTTGGTACTGCACGTGATCCTCCACGAACTCCGGCGCAAAAGATGGTGGCTCCGTCTTGGGTGGGGACCTGCCGGAACCCGAGGACACCCTAGGGGTTGGGTTTTTCATGCTGTCTGCGGAGGGTTAGGACGATGCAAAGCAACATTTTTGTACATGTAGGAAACATGTGGATGGAACAGCTGAAGCTGACGTCCTTTCTCAGATTTGGTTGACCTGTTGACTACTGGTCTTGGGGGTTTTGAGATTCGGAGTCCGGAAGCCCCGGCTATAGGAGTGCTCATATTCAGGGCTCTAGGGGGCCATTCAAGTAAGTTTCAACCCGTCTACAGATTAAAGACGCCGTTTTTCCGTGAACCCCATCGTGTACGAACTAAGAAGTTTGAAAGATGCTTTGAAGCTTTGGTTGTACTCAAACTGTGACGTGAATTTTGTGCTAGTGGTAGACCCAGTCATGCAAAACCAACGGCTCTTCTCGTGCCATTGTGTTGGAACCAAAAGGTTGTAACATAAATCGTCTCTCTCATCTTCCCTCGTCTTCTCACATCTTCCCTCATCTTCCTTCATCTTTCTTCATCTTCCTTCATCTTTCTTCATCTTCCTTCATCTTCCCTCATGTTTCCTCATCTTCCCATCTCCCCTCATCTTCCCTCATCTTCCTTCGGCTTGGGTCCTGGGCAGCAGCACTATTTTTGTGCGAAAAGCTCCGAGGGCTTACCTCCCATCCGAGCTCCCAAGCTTACTTCCACAGGTGTGCTTCTTCTTTTGTGAACTCTTGCTCGCCAACTGCACTGACGCTCTCAAAGGAAAGTTTTGCTGCATCCTCTCTCTCTCCCTCTCTCTTGAGTTGTGAGCAATGGGTAATCCGAGTCAGAGAAAAACCAGGCAACACATTCTGATCGCCCTCTTGTATCTTTGATGTCTGACGTGGATCCTAGCCTCAGCGCACGCGTCTTGTTCGGAGACTCGAAGTTGATGAAGGTGTTCCTGGAGTGTCGGAAGGGCCGTGAAAAGGGCGATGTTTTTGCAGAACTGTGGCTCTGCTCACACTCTGAACAGCTGCAGCACAACGAGACCCTCGAAACCGCACAGCATATTGAGGTATGGGGACGCGTATGTCTTAAGCCCAATGGGAAGCATTCCTGGGCCTGAGTCGGAGGTTACTGCCTGCTTCCTGCAGCCCATTAACCAAATGCAAACCCCAAGCGCTTGCGTGCAGAACGAGTGCGCGACAGGCAAACTCCGTAATCACAAAACTCCCAGATCCTAAACTGCAATAGAAGCCCTCTTAGAGTCTTACATGACATCCTCACTTCAAGAAGCTGCTACACGTTCCATACACTGGGCTCGATGAGACGGGGCGCTTCACTGGTGGATCCGCGGCACGCAGTTCCAGGATGGGCCTCTCTTCAGGGTCTCTGGGGGTCAAAAGCTCACTGCGACAGCAGACCCTCAAAGGGTTGAAGGTTCAGGGTTTAGGTTTTAGCGTTCAGGGCCTCTGCCCTCAACCACACCCATGTAGCAACCACAACAATCGAGAAAACAGACGCAGAGATCAGATTCTGAAACCGGCCTCTTCACTGGCGACAACGGCTCAGCGGCCAAAGGCACCTGTGCAGCTCAATCACCAACGATGATGCAGAACTGTCTGGGGAAACCATGGGGCATTCAAACACGTGGAACGACCAGGGCTCACCACAGACCGCTGCAAAAGCTTCAGTGTCTTTTGCTCGGCCGAGAGATCAGAATAACCCTGCAATGCCGCACGCGCTCTCTAAACGGGGCTCATGTTTCAATCCCAAGCACAGTCACTCGACTTGTGTCTTGCTGCTTAGTGCGCAAAACGAAGACAAGCCAAGACAAGTGCACCCCCAAGGCTACTAACCCTCCTGTGCTCCTCTTCTAAAGGAAAACTGCGGAGCCGGTGTCGTTCTGCCCGACATATACACACCAAAATGAACGAACTCACACAGGGTTGACCTCTGATGCGGTTAGTAAGCATCGCTTAAACATGTCCCCCATCGTTTCCCCGCCGCTCTGACGCCAGAGAACCATATCCTGCTGACCTATCAGGAGCTTCGTAGGACGCAGCTTGACAAGCACATTGCATTAATCGTTCGCTCTTTGAACCCACAAGCATGTGGAAGCATTCATGGAACAAAGTCACACGTGGAAACTAAGGTGCGCGTTGGGTCACACTAAATCAACCTGGTTTCAAACAGTCCTCCTACGATCCCAATGCATTCAAGTCACAATACGCCTCTAGCCCAACTCGCAAAACGTCGCAAGTCAATGGGCCCCAATTTCGAACGTGCAGCGAGCCTAGGGCCTACTATGGTCTACTTGATCTCCCCGTATGCAGGGTGAATCGTACAGGCAAGCGATAACTGCTTGCCCTAACTTAAGCACCCGCCTCCTCCGGAGCTGGCATTCCATCATTCTCCTTGTGTGGAACATCTTAGGCAGGCGCTGTCTGGTTTGAGGCTTTACAGTTTTTCGAGAAGGCTAAGAGCAAGTTTGATCAAGAGATGTTGAAAAGCGCACACACACACACACTCACAAACAAAACGCTACGAACAAATTGACAGATCGCTGTGAAGGCTCTAGTTGCGAGGCTGAGGCTTACAATGTCTGCAGCATTTGAGGGCGAGAGCAACTGCCTCGTGTTGTGCTGGCTACTGCAGAACGCGAGGCCCTCATGTCAAAAGACTTGCGGCGGAGTTGCAGCACTTCAACCCACAAAGGCTGGTCTGTGCCGAGGCTTGTATCTCGTATTCTCGTATAGCGACAATGCCGAGTGCCATTAAGAACCGACTGGCTCCAGTGAGCTGCTGTACATTCCTCGAAACCTAAATGCCGACAACAGTCTTCATCGTGCTACAGAGTCCAATGTCCAGATGCATGCCTGCATGCCCTTCACTTTTGATGATGAAACGAAACAGACAGTGGAACTTCTGAAATGGCCTGCACCGTCGGGAGACGACTTGGCGTTTGTCCGGAGATGCGAGGAGCTCGATTCTCCTGTTTCACAAGGGAAAGTGAACTTCCAATAAAGTGCTCGTTTGGGTTGCGATCTTGGCCGCAGCGCTCCCTGCATGTCAAACTGTGAGATGTTGAGGGCTCAAAGCCCCACCTTCTGACACGCATCGTGGACAAGCCAGGCGAGGAATTCATACTCTGTTAGTGTCAATCCCAGGAAGAAGGAGACCACAGCCGAAGCTGGCAAGTACACTCCAAGTGGGGAGCCACTCCATCCATCCAGCACACAGACTCTGCAACCTTGATTTAGAGCCCCAACAGGTTCAACCCGAATCATATTATGTCCCCTGAAACCCTCGATATCAATGCATCTCAAACCTTGCCTTGCCAGCGCTGCGCTGCTGCGAGGCAGGCGAGAGCAGCAAGGAAGAGGCGCGGGTCGAGGGAGACGACTGCGAGGAGAAGCCTTGTGAGGAGCGGAACGTCAAAATATGGCGCACCAGGTGGTGGTTTCGTGTCTTGTGATCGTCCAGCCCCCGCGAGGGGTTGTTGCTGCCGATTGGCTTTTGTGTTTGCTGTTTTTTTGTCTTTACTTTCCTTTGGGGGGCTTGTGAGTTTGACTTCTGTGGTTTCCGATTCGAGTTTTGACTCAGGTGCGTTTCTTCCCAACTCGACAGTCACTCCTCATGGATGCCCTTGGCCGAATTGCATCAAGGCTCAGGAATCCTGCGCTGGCGTCCACAAAGCTTTTCCTGAGCCATGCATGGGGCACTGTCTTGCGCAACAGTCTCTTCTCACCGTCGGAAGAGGCACCGCACGGTTGCCAACGGAAAGCCTTGAACACGGTTCCAGAAGACTCTAATTACCCTCCAGAAAGAAGGACGGAGAACTGGAAAGACATGTTTCGCAAAGATGGCAAGCATCAGGGCAGGACGAACGCCCCTCTCTCTCTGTATGTTTGCACCAATGAGGAAGCTCTTGCCAAGTACCAGACAGTACAGGATCGCTCGCCCTCCCGGTCCCTCCCTCAGCACCTTTCGCAATCGCCCGAGATGTACCCGAATGTACCCTCCTCGACACTTCGATCATCTTCGATCCCAAGTCTCCGCGCTCGATCGGAGACGTCATCAGCTCACCATCCTGTCCAAGGTGTGGTCCAAGAGGCGAGGCCGACCAGGCGGTTGCTCAATGTGCGCAAGGCAGCATTGATCGAGAAAAAGACTTCACTTGCGGCAAACTAAAGGGTCTTTGCTGTTGCCGGCTTTCTGTGGGTGTAGGGCGGTGTAGGGCAGGTTGACAAATAGCCGAATTCCGCCTTGCCTCCAAACTTGGCACTCATAGACTGGCAACCGTGCTGTTCAAGGGGCTTTTCAGGGATTACTTCGCACAACTACGCGCCATCAGGCTCGTTTAGTGCGTAGGACAAACCTCTCGCCCTTTAGGCCAAGGCCACCCAAGATTGCGAGATTGCCTTGGAGGGCGGAAAGGGGCAGGTCAGGCCCTAGTAACCACACAGGGAATACCGGATGAAAACACTGCAGCATGACACTAGAACTTCTAGGAACGGACATAGAGACCGCATGCCCGCCTTCGCCTTTGCAGATACGGGCGATTTCGTCCACTCGTCCCCAGACGTGGGGCACCGACGAGGAGGCCTGTTTTGCTAGGGCTCAGGCTTCGTTCTGCCTACTTGGCTAGAACCTGTGACAAGAGAACGAAACGGCTTCTGGAGGTTGGGCGCAGAACCCTCGTTGTTAGGCTCTGCATTCTGGCCTTTGGCTGCGGCTCACATGGGTCACCCCATAAGAGTCTGAAATCCCCAACCCCTTCCAACCAGATCCAGCACGAGCATCAGCAGCAAACTCGAAGCATTGGCATGCGGGAAGAGTAAAACTAATTATTCAAAACAGGTTTGGGGACTAAGAAAGCCTGCCGCCCGCATCCCTAAGCGTCAAGCCGAGGGGCGGCGTCTCAGCGCGTGAGAGCATCTTTCACTCTAGCCACCCGTGTGGAAATTCCCTGGCTTCGGCCACACCACTGCGGGGGCATGCACTTGGATGCACTGGCACTGCATGCAAACATCAAGCAGCTGTCTTGCACAATCTGACGTGGGCCAGGTCCACACGGTGGCCTGAAAGATAATCCAACAAAGGGCATGCCCACTGAGACACAAAGGTCCATGAAACTCTTGCCTGCCGAAGCTCAGGGTTCAACAGCAACTTCTTGGCGTAGTCGGCGTAGTGTTAGAAAAGAACCGACTCGCTGCAAGGATGCTCCTTTTTTCTCTCTGAAATGCCTACCATGCCCGGCATTCAGATTTGCAGCTGGGCCCCATGCGAAAAGGTTCCACTTTCCAAATAGAACTGGGACGAAGAATAAGAGAAGCAAGTACAGGAATGTACAGGAGAACCCGGAGTTTTACAATTCAACTTGCTGGGGGCACCAGCGGCAACGCTGGCCGGGAGGTGGGAGCTTATGCAGCGATCTTGCCAAAGGATCTCCTTCGGCACGGTGCATCGCGGGCCACCCATACTAAGAAACTCCTGTGTTAGAAAGCCTCAGCTATACCACTTTGGGGTGCGTAGTAGTGGTAGTGGCTTTACGGTTTTGACAGCGTTTCGAAGGGTTCTAGAAAGGTACGCAAACATCTACTACGCCAGAATATTTCGTATTTCAGGTGACTGTGAGGAACTTAGAAGGGATTGAGTGGCGGCAGGTTTCTTTTCTTGGAGGAAGGTGCCATAAAACGGTGGGTCACTGAAGGGGGGGGGGGTAGCATATAGACAGACATGAAGTATCTATATACTTCATGTAGAAATTTAACTCTCGCTCTCTAGGCACGCGTGCCCCGATGCGTTGGGCTTGGATCCTTTGCAAGGGGGGCTCGACTGGGAGGCTGGCTGCCCTTGCAAACAAACCTGCTGCAAGCTTCAGGCACTGAGATGCACGTTGGTCATAGGCTTTCATGAAGCGGAGTTTTGGGCTGCGGCTTCAACGGGGCAGCTTCTCCCAATAACGCTTGTACAGCTTGCCCTCACTGTTCTTGCCCTTGCGGGTGCCCTTTCCACCGTTGGCGACGGATCGCTTGACGCGTTCCTTGCGTGAGACATGCACAAGCTTACTTTTGGAGGGCAGGCTTGCATGCCGTGCTTTTGTTGAATCGGGTGGCTGAACCAAGGGTTTCAATTCGAGCAATCGCAAGGTCTGCGCTACTCAGGGATGTATCATGCTTGTATTTACATTTTAGCCGCCCACCCCTTTTGAGCGGACAGCAGCTCTGACCAGTTAACCCTCAGCATCCCTCAACTCAGCCCTGAAGTCCCAGGGTCACCTCCTGAGCCCCACACGCGCCAGGCAGGCTGCTGGATGTTCATCCAGTGAGGAACCTTCCAATCCTTCATGTTCAGGACCTGGCTTAGTGGCTTCGGATCTCCAATAACTTGTTTCGGGCTTTCGATGCCTGAGCAATGAGGAGGCTGCCAGAGGCTGCCAATCAACAAGCACTCGCGCCGAAGCCGAATTCTGCGAGACGCCGGTCAAATCCCAAATGTTCAGGCATGTTTGGGAAGGGCACCTGTTCTGCCATCTTTCGGACCTCCAAACTCGGGTCTTCGCGCATCAGGCGCACCTCACACATGACTCGCACGCATTCGAGGCTTTGGGATTGGGCACTCACTTGCGGCGAAGAGTCTCGCTTGCACGGTCGAAAACTTTCAAAGGTCGACAGCACGTGTGAATGTATCTCTTCTCGCAATGCACTAAGTAGGTTCTCCGAATGAAGTTGCTGCTCTCCCCAGATCAGGCCCTGCACATACACAGCCTCTGGACGCAACATATCTCACAGATTCGTGTTTCTCAGTAAACCTTCCGGTCTGGTCTCACCTTTGTTGGCTAACTATGGTTGTCGCCTTCAAGTTAAGCCTTGATACCGGCTTAGCCTCTGATCACAATACAATACCAGACATGTACTTGAAGTCTACACCCCTGCTGCGTTGCTAAAAGCCAACATGCCATGGCCTGGCGAAAAAACTCTAGAAGGGTTTGATGTTAGGCAACAACAGCCCATCATACCTGGTGGTCTCAGATGGTATAGCTCACTTCCAAGCAAAAAAAACCTGAGACACGCGCCAGAGCTTTCTTGTGTCTGCCAACTTCGCCTGAGGGCCTCAGCGGAGGTGGGGTGGATTCCTTAAGGTCACAGCTCATGGTCTTGACCGTCTTGGGGCTTTCGAACGCAAGGGCGTAAAAGGTCGGGCCCCGAACGGCTATATGCATGTCACTCCATAGTTCCTCGCGCTTCTATTTTGCATAAGCAAAAGGAACAATTGTAATACAAGTCATAACAGTGATGGAGTTGCTACAACTACTGAAACCAATACCATTGCAATAGTGAGTGGACACAACATAAGTGATGTAACGAATACGTCTGAATCGTGAATGTCAATCATCCAGTGCAAGAAGTTAATATACTGAACGGAACTAACAAAATTACTATGTGATTGGTATAGTTGATGCAACTCAGAGAACTAAGATAGAACTAAGACAGCTGATGCAAACAGTGTAGTGAAACGGAAACGCAAGCAATAACAAGAGACAAGTAAAAACGAAAACCGAGCATGGCAAAATCAGAAAGCGGAAAGCAGAGATCAGAAACAGAAGGCAACAACGCAAACAGCAAACACAGGCAACAAAACATTAAAAGCGAGAAGCCGAAGGCGATGAAGGGCAGTCAGAAACACGAAAACACAAAACACATGGGGACACACACACGCACGCACACACAGCGACATAGAATAAGAAGAAGAAGAAGAATAAGAAGAAGAAGAAGAAAGAGGAGCAAAAAACAACTCCAACGGGATGCGACGAAGTTGTCGCCGGGACGTTTGCAAGCAAGGACAGCATTAATCGCAACCTTAGGGCGTGCAGCAACCGAAACCCTTCTAAGGTGCACACCGTAGATTAAGGCAACCCCCAACTCCAACCCCAGACCTGACATGTGAGTACCGGATCTGAGGTCTGGACCCGTTTGCAGACATCGTTGAAAACCTTGCGCAGGCAAAGGCTGGGAGCTTCATGGGGCACCTAGAGCTAGGCGGGCGGTTGAATTAGATGTCGTGCCCTTGCGCAGGCCATAGAGGTCTCGAACAGGATCTTGAACAAACAGCAACACATGAGTTTTGACAGCCCATGCCCATCAGGGTGGCAACTTTAAGGCTCGAGCCCTCGAATAGCCTCGATGGCAGAGAGGCGCACAAATTCTTCCTGGGGCGGTGGGTCTGCAACGCTCTGCCAAAAACACGGAAGCATACCAAAATCTGAGAAACACTGGAGATCCAAGTGTTGAGCGTGCTCCTGTCAAGACGTCCAGATCAGGGTGGGCACTCACATATGGCTAGACCCCTGCAGCCCAGGGGACGCCTCAATCCCTGATCGACTACCCCGCCCCTCCAAGCCCAGAAACCTGTCCAAGCTCCTAAAACTCTGCCACTCTCACGAATTCTCACGAATTCTGCCCCTTGCGTCCTCGTGGGTAAAGTAAGGACGCAGAAGCGACGAGTAGTGGGCAGCCCAAGGCCCGATCCAACCCTGGTGCCAGTCATGGCTCGGTTTTCTATTTGGGAGGGCTGTTGACAGAAAAAATGCTGTGACTATGAGGCCGAGGAGAGTGAGAATACTACCCTAAGGACCCACCACAGGTCTCCGCCGCAACTCCTGCAGACTTCTTGTTTTGTCCCGAATATCGGCTCGGCGTGTTCTTTGAGGAATAGCGGCAAACGGTTTAGCTCCGTGAAAAGCAAGGATGGTTCGGAGGCCTTGGGCAAGTTCAGCCGGCAGACCCCGCATTTGAGAAGTTATCATCCGAGACCGTGGCCAGTGCTCGCATGGACACGATCTGGGTCACGAGATCCTCGTCCTGGCAACGGTTTGTACTTTAATCGGGTTTCGGGTTTCTGCTTCGATGTGGTGGCCAGATAGAGGCTGCAGTATTTCTTGCTGCGCTGGCATACCTGTGCTTAACTGGGACGTGTAGAAGGGAGCATCTGAAGGCTTTCATATTGGAATGGGGCTAAGATAAAGTCCGAAGAGCACAGTTAGTCTCGCGGAACCTGTTTCTGTTCAAGTGAGGCGCAGCCACAAGGCCCGAGAGCCTGAAGCCCGAACCCAAACCAAATATCAGTAAGCCCCTTTTGCATGAACCTTCCCATTCCTGACTTGATGACCCTAAGCTCACCTCTATAGCTGCTGGCTGAACCGAGCTAAGCCTGGAGCATCCTGGAGGCCCAACACCAAACTCTGCATACCCGCTCCAGAAAACCGAAACAGAGAAGTAGGCAACTCTGGGTCAGGATTGTTTCCGTGTTCCAAGCACGTCGTGCGCTTCTTTGTTGTGAAGTTCGCAGGTCCAGTGACTGATGGCTCCGTGAACCAGGCATGGCTACCTTGAAGTAAGCTTGCACGCTAGAATTCCAAGCTTTTCACAACATCGTACGGACGTTGCGGTGGAGAAAACCTCCTGAGTGTGATCAACTCAGCACTACCCCGCCCCCCTCCCCCCCCGCCCCCCTTGTTGTGCAGTTCCGGGATAGACTATTGGCCATCAGTTCCGGCATGAACACCCAGGCTCCTTCAATGATATCTAAGGCTTTGCCTCTCAAGCACGAACGGTCTTGACAAGGCAACACTCGACCCGACTGAAGGGACCCTTCATTAAGCCAGCCCAAAGCAATCCCCAAAACACCCCTAAACGGATCTAAACGGTAAAGGCTTCAAGATGCACGCACTTAGATGACTGAGATGCGGCTGAAAAACAATTTGAGGGTCATCCCCCTCAAGAACGACTGGGCTCCGAACTTGATCCGGCTCCAACTTGCGTGCAATACGTGCCTTGGCAAATCTTTGCCAGGCGCTCAGGCTGGGGTCCATTTTCCCATCTGTAAGGATTGTTCGAATGCTTGTCCTGAGAGCCATAGTCAACAAATATCAGCAGCACTAGCATCAGCATAAGCGTAACCATTTGCATAAGGACAGCGGGAAGTATCATATTGCCTGAACTGGAAGCTGGCTCTCTCCCGCTGAGTGATCGATATGACGCCCAGTGTTCGGAAGTAGCGCCATCAGGCTTCTCAACCCTAAACTCTGAACCCTAAACCCTTTTGCATCCGGGCTTGGGGAGTCGGCCCTAAACCCTAAACCCAAACCCTAAACCCTAAACCAACTTATTATTAGGCAAGTCGGATTGAGTTTTTGGCCTCTTAAGGCTCCTGCCTTTGCACTTTCTCTGGCCAAGGCCCTGGCAATCCATTCGTCCACCGCCCACCGGTCGTAGCAACACATATTGTGAAAGACTTTCCTGAGCTCGCAAAAATGGGTTTGACTGACAGCGTCTCTTACAGCTCTGCAGCAAAAAGCTCGGAAACCTTCCAAACTGCCGCAGGCGCAGGGTACTGATTGGCGTGTGAGGGACGAAAAAAACGTCCAGACATGGGCTACATATGGCTACATTGCGTGGCGGGCCTGGCCGTCCGGAATGTAACGCTTGTCTCACGATGGACATGGTGTTGTTCCTGCTTGCTCTTGCGAACCGATGGCCCGGCGGCCCACCCCACAATCCTAAGGCCCAACTGCCAAGCTGCGCGATGGCCAGCCTGACTTCGAGGTCCTGTCAGATCGTCAGCCCGAGCAATTCTCGAGAAGTGCCGAGGCAATTGTAATTGTAGGCAGCTCCGCAACATGCGATGGAGCCTCCGTCCGTGCCACGTGCCATGCATGCTAAACAGGCACTCTTGATGCCCATCCTCATCGTAAAGAGCGTTGAACAGCCCGTGCATCACTCGAGACCCGAGCCTTGGATGTTCCGGAGTAGCTCATGCAAGGGGCAAAGGTTGAGAAGTTGGACATCTACCCAGGGGGGTGCAAGTCGGCTGCGAAACTTGCTGTCGACATGGCTTTCAAGTTTCTGGTACCAACCTGTTGATGTGGACCGGAATGCGGCCCTTGGCGGCCAATGCGGACGGTCAGGAAGGGCGATGTGCTAAATGGGAATTAGGCGGGTAGCAGGCGACGATTGGCAGACAGGGGTGCGAACGGAGGGTTTTTTGGGTTTCTGAGCCAACATTGCGAAGCAATGTTGGCTCATAAGAAAAGTTTCAGCACAACCGGTCAAAATCCTTGCCAGATCCAAATGTCAAACCCATCCAACGATTCCATGGGGTGTGGCTGTTGGTGCTTCAAGGCTGCCATGCGGGGTTATGCTGTCAAGGTCTGCCACTTGGGGATGAGAGGGTTTGGCTTGCCCTTGGCGTGGCATGAGTGCAGAAATCCTCGACCATCCTGGAAACCCTAAATCCTAAATGACCCTAAACCCTAAACCCTAACCCCAAACCCTAAACCCTAAACCCTTTTTGCAGCCGGACTGAGAGCGTTGCCGGAACCCTAAACCCTAAACCCTAAACCCTAAACCCTACCCATATGAGCGCGCGGCGGCCTGTAGAGTTTGTCCTGCAGCTTAGCGCTGGCTGCCCTTCTGACCTGGCATCCGGTCCCCTTGCAATCTCAGAAAGCACTGAAGGTTCGAGGCCAGGAGGCCTTGCGCTTTCCTTAGCCACCTGTGGTCCTCAATTGCTTTTGCTTCCGGGC